CCTTCTGAGTACTAGGATTAAAAAAAGCATACACCACCTTGCCTACCTTGATATGTTCTTGAATTCTGTTTGTAAGTAATAAATTTTTTCTCTGTATTTGTCAAGGAGATTGCTTATAATTTTGGTTCTGTCTTTATCTGGTTTTACTATCAGTCTAATGATGGCTTCATTAAAAGAATTTGAAAGCATTTTTTCTTTTTCTACTTTACATAATAATTTAGGAAGCAATAGTTTTATTTCTTCTTTAAAGTTATGGTAAAAATTCTGGTCCTGGGGTTATTTTGTTGGTAGTTTTTTTTGTTTTGTTTTGTTTTTTTCTGCTGCTTTAATCTCATTGTTTGTGATCTGTTTAATTTTTTTTTAATCTCTTGATCTTACTTAGTAGTTCATATACATTTAGAAACTCATCTATTTCTCTTAGGTTTTCCAACTTGATGAACTATAAGTTTTTGCAGTATATCCATGATATCATTGTTATCGTCCTAGTGTTTCTCTTTTTGTCTCTAATCTTGTTAGTTCAGGTCTTTTCTCTCTGTCAGTTTTTCTAAGAGTTTGTCTCACTTATTTTTTTCAATGAACCAACTCTTCATTTTCTTGATTGTTTTCTTTTTAAAAAGCTGTTTTTCCTTTATTATTGTTACTTGATTTCTGCCCTGATCTTACTTAATTTTTTTTTTGTCCACTAGTTTTGAGTTTGGTTTGACCTTGCTTTTGTTTTTTGTTTTGTTTTTTTTTTCCAAAGCTTTGAGAATATGTCTTTATAAGTTAGTTATTTGAGATTTTTCTGATTTTTGTGATCTTGGCACTTAGAGTTGTGAATTCTCTCTTGGGGCTGCCTTTTCTGTGGTTTTCCCCACTGTTGATTTCTAGCTTTATAACTTTGTGGTGAGATAGAATAATGGAAATACTTTTATTTTTTTATATGTTGAGAGCCCCATGGATTGCTGAGAAGAATGGCTATTCTGCAGTATTTGAAATGAATGTTTTATAGCTCTCTGTTAATCCTGTAAATTTGATCTATAGTGTCATTTAGCTTTATTCTTTCTCTATTCGTTTTTTTCTTGTGTTTGTTTTTGCTTAGCTGACTTGTCTTCCTGAGAGTAAGGTATAGAAATCACCTACTATTACTGTCTTAGAGTTAATCTTGATTTTTAAATCTAGTTTTGTTTTATGAAATTGGGTACAACTGTGTTTTGTATGTATATGTTTAGAATGATAATGTCCTCTTGATAGATTGTTTTTCTTAATCTCTGTGAAGTGGCTTTTATGTGTTGCTCTATTTTGTCCTGATTCCATTTAGTTTGAATACCTTTGTCCGTCTTTTCATCCTAAGGTGGTATCTAATTTTGGTGGTGAGGTATTTTTCTTGGAGGAAAGACAGAGGGTCCTGATTTCTGATCCAATATGCAAGTTTATATCTTCTGATAGGGACGTTGAGTCTTGATATTCAGTTATTGAAAGGTTTGTATTAATTCCTTTCATCTTGTTGATTTTGTTGTATTTCTTTGTCTTTATTTGCTTAAACATCTTTTATTCTTCTGTGTAAGTTTTTAGATTTATCAATCTCTTCTGTTTAATGCATTCTCTCCATTTCCTTGGTAGTGCTGTCTTAGTGTTTGAAAAAATTGTTATAGGCTGCTTTTTTTTTTTTTTTTTTTTTTCATGGAAAGTTTCTTTCTTCTTCCATTGTGACAAGTAGTTTTGCTGGCAGTACTAGTCAGGTTTGGTGTCTCTGATTTTTTAGGACTTGAAGTACATTGCTTCAAGCTCTTCTGGATTTTAAGTTTTCTTTGAAAGGCCAGTTGTTACTCTAATGGGCTTGCCTTTGTGTGTATCTTAGGCTTTCTCTTTTGCAGCTTTCAGTACCCTTTGTTCTCTGTATTTATTGTTTTACCATGGCATGGCTTGCTTTGGTGGAGGATTATTCTTTTCTAGTTCTATCTGGTGTTCTGTAGGCCTCTTGTACCTGAATTGGCATCTCTTTACGTAGATACGGAAATTTTTCTTCTTTGATATTTTTCTTAAAATATTTGCTATGCATTTGGCATTAGAATTATTCTTCTAAGCCTATACCTTGTAAATTTAATTTTTTATAATATCCTACAAATCTTGTATGTTCTGTTGTTATATTTTTTAAAAATTTTCATTAACTTTAAACCATTCCTTTACCTTATTCTCAAGTCCTATTATGTGTTTTTTTTATATAAGTTCTCTATATGATCAGTTCTTTTGGCTGGGCTTAGGTTTTTAATTGGCTTACCGTGTTTTTCATTTCAAATTGTGATTTCTTCTGTATTTCTGTTTCTTTGTTGAATTCTACTTTTATATACTGTGTTGATTTACTATTTCATTTTTGTTTCATTCATCTGTTTTTGTTTTCTTAGGATTCTTTAAGGAGATTGTATTTTCATTGAATTTGTTCATATACTTATTCATTATTTTTATTATTGGGAGTCATTACCATGGGGTTATTAAATTTCAAAGAGACATTTTTGTCATGGCTCTTTATGGTACTAGTGTTTTATGTGAGGATTTGTTTATCTGAAGTTTGTTAGTTGATACTTTCTGGTCAACTGAATGGTACAAGCATACTTCTGTGTCCGCTTCATGAATACTGGCTGTGTTCAGTGTTGCTTATGTTTTCCATGTATTTAAAGTTAAGTTATTTTATTTTTACTTTTCATTGATTCTTTGTGAATTTCACATCATGCACCCCAATCCCACTTATCTCTGTTTCTGCATATCTTTTCTCTGCCCTTGCACCTTCGCCCCAAAAAAGAAAAAAAGTGTCACTGCGGAAGCTTGGAAGCTGCAGTGTGCCATGTTGTGTTACATAGTACCCCCTTCTGTCCAGACACCTTTCTTGGAAATGTTACTGCAGTGAGTCACTGATCTGGCTCAAGGCCTCTGACTTCTACAGCACCATTGATACTGGGCCCTCATTGAGACTTCTCTTGGATATCCTGCTTTTGCCAGGAGTCAGGGAGATCCTGCAGTTTTGGTTCTGCAGGACTAGTTCCTTCATGCACTCTAGCAGCTCATAGGTGAGGTAGATTTTGGGGTGGCCCAGTTCAAAGCCTAGAATTTGGGCATGGGTGATAGCTGAGTTGTCAGCCCAACAGTTCTTCTGCACCCATACCCCAGGGACAGCCCTTCTTCCCCCATGCCACTAGGGTTAGCTCTTTTGTGCTACCCAGTGAGGGCTGGGCATTGGGGCCAGCTTTCACACACCCACGCCACTAGAGCCAGCTTTCCTGTGCTGTCCAGGCGTGGGACAGGGCCAGCTCTCCTGGTTGCCACAGCTAGTGAGGGGTGGGACCAGCTCTCCCACACCCAAGCCACCAAGGCCAGCTCTCCTGTGGTGCCCAGGTGAGGGGCAGGGGCAACTGTCCCAAGTGTGGCTGGCAAGTAAGGACCAGCTAAGCACAATGCTCAGACATCCACATGGTCTCAGGTGACAGCCCAGAACATAGATACCTGCATGTTCTTTGGTGGTACCTCAAGCCATGGACATCAACACAGACATCTCTTGTAGCAGGACCACAGAACCCAACATGGCCCTCAGTTGCAGCCCAGGTCAGGATGTCACCATGGCCTCAGATGGCAGCACAAGCAACTCAGCTTAGTTTGACCCTGGGCATCAGCATGGTCTTAGGCAGCATCCAGATGGTCTTTGGTGGCAACAAAGGCCACAGATATCAGGACAGAGCACAGCTGCACAGACTCCTCACCATTATCACCCCTCCAGTTCCATATTTCCCCTCAGTGCACAAACAGCTCAGCTGCACTTTGTCTCCCGTCTCTCCATCGATACTTGCCCATTGGAGTGGACCTGTGCAGGGCTTATGTTTTTAGATAGTTTTATCGTGTTTATTTTTGTGCTGTCCCCCACCTGTGGTAGTGGTATTGACTCTTAGACCTCAGCACTGTCACCAGGGCTCTTCTATTTTGCCACCCTCCGAGGCTTCTAGTGGCTGTTTTAAAATCCGATACTTCTCTTTTTCTCATTCATTTCTAAGTGTGTTTTGACTGCTTTCATTTTTTTCAAGGTCATGAATCACTTTTCTTTGTTGTTTTTAGTAATTTTTTTATTGTAGGGTGGATATTAGAACCATTACATTTTTCCCCCAGCCAACTGTTCAGCAGGCTGCTTTATGACATTTTAGACTCAGCTCTTCATTAAGTGATCACTATCTGTCTCCAGGTTGTCTTATTTGCCCTGATAAATTAGCTTATAAGTTACGTTTTGCCCATTACCTTCTGCTCTTACAGAATTACCTTTCTGTGTTACAGTCTGTGTACTATGTGTGTTCCTGGTACTAGCAGTGGCCAGAAGAGGCCATCAAATCCCCTGGGACTGGAATTACAGACAGCTGTGAGCCACCACTGGGTGTTGGGAGTCAGATCATGGTTCTCTGGAAGAACAGCCAGTGCTCCTAACTACTGTGGTCTCTCCAGCACTAGACCCACTTTTCAGTTTCTCATTTTTAACTATATCTTAACTATTTTTCTACTTCAGTGTTTCTTCCTTTAAAATATATATCCTTCTGTTTCATTCAGTTGACAAAATTTGCATAAAAATACCAATTTCTGTCATCTACTTCATTTTGTAAAATTTTCTGGGATATTTCCTCATGAACTATAATCCACATTACCAAGTGAGGACAAATAACAACTCTTGGGTTAATAACCCATATTTTGAATTCTTTGTTTAAGTGGATTTAATTTGGGAGGATGGAATTAGGAGGCTATTTCTTTTAGGAATAAAAAGTGACAGAATGACAATTAGGGATATTGGTTTTGATTTCAAATATATTTTGCTTATATTGGAATATTGGATGTATTGATATTATTTAGAAGAGCAGAATATATAAGAAAGTTTTGTTTTGTATCACCAATTAGCACAAATAAATCAATAATCTTTAAAAGAAACCATTACATTTATTTTTAATTGTGTTTCAGTATAATTTAAAATTTTTTTCCCTCCAAATTTCTTTCAGTAACCCTAAATCGGAGAGTCAGAGAGTAAATAAAAAAGTCAACAATGATGCTTCACTTAGAATTCATAATCTATCCATTTTGGTGAAACAGATAAAATGTTATTACCAGGTAAGTGGCCTTTTTCTGTTTAAAATAATATTTTATTTATAATGCAATTATTTATACTTTTAAAATTAATTCTTTGTTGAGAACTTGCATAAATGTCATAGCCTACTTAAATAACATTTTTGATGTATGCCTTTTTTAACTTAAGTTGGATACATATATTAGTTCTTAATTCTGAACATTATTTTTCAATGTCTGGATATTTGCCTGCAAGTATGCCTGCATACCATGTGCGTGCCTAGTGACTATGGAGGCTGGAAGGAGACAAATTCCCCGGAAATGGGATAACAGATGGTGTGAGCCACCATGTGGATGCTGGGAAATGAACCAGAGTTCTCTGAAAGAGCAGCCCGTGCTCTTAACCTCTGAGCCATCTCTCCAGCCACAAACCTTAATTCTTAATTTTCTTGAAACTGCTGTCATTGCACAAATTTTTGTTTGGTAACCAATTTTTAAATGTTTATTTCAATGTTTTCTGATTTATGCTATGTTCTGTTTCATTTACGACTTATGGAGGAGGGTGCTTTTAAATTAAATATACAGAGCTTTTTAAGTAAAATTTTTTGTTCAGAAAATTTAGTTTGTATGCTTCTTAATTTTTGACATTTTTTTGGTTTGTGTGTTTATGTTTGTTTGTTTTTGAGACAGCCCTGGCTGCCCTGGAACTTGCTTTGTAGACCAGACTGTCCTTGAACTCAGAGATTTGCCTGCTTCTGCTACTTGGGTGCAGGAACTAAAGGCGTGTGCCACCATGCCCAGCTCAAAATTCGAGTTGAATGTATCAATTCACCCAGACAAAAATGGACTCTGCCCCATGTGAGGGCCTGAACCTTCAACTGTGGCATTTAGAGTCCCATGCCTTATCAACTGACCTAGCTTGGCAGCTAATTACCTAGTATGGCTTTATTAATTTGTCTCTTTAGTATTGAGAAAGATGAATTTAAATGCTTTTGTAAGACAAAGGATTTATCAACTTTTCTTTTATATACTTTGAAGAGATAGTAGTAGGTGTAGATGAATATAAACTTTTTTTGGAGAACTGTATCATTGTTTCTGCATTCCCTCGTAATTACTGATTTAAATATCTTTTGGAAAATATTTTATTTTTGTTTTATAATTACAGTGTATCTTAATTATATCTACCCACTCTTGGCCTGCTCTGCTCTTCCACCCCTGTGGAAGTCTTTCTCTCCCTTGACAGTGCTGCTGCTAGAATGTTGCCTGGTCTTGTTGGCTTGGCCTTGTGCAGTTAACATAGTTGCAGGGAGTTCATGAGTACAGCAGCCATCATGTGTCCCCAAGGCAGCTTTTGAAATCCTCTGGCTCTTATATTTCTGCCACTTCTTCTTCAGTGTTCTCTGAATTAAACTTATTTGAAATCTCATTATACTTAACAATGGCCGAAGTTGCTTTTGTAGCATAGTGCCATAACTTTAGAATAGATTAATTCTAAGTAGTTACTGGGACTTTTACATTCTTCTTGATTTTTTTACACTAAAGATTTATTTCTTTTATGCATATGAGTGTTTGCCTGAATATAAGTGTATGTGTACCATGTATCCTACAGAGGCCAGAAGAAGCTATTTGATCCTTAAGAACTAGAGTTACAGAGAGTTGTGAACTGCCACATGGGTGCTGGAAATCAAAACCAGGTCCTCTCCAAGAACAGCAAGTGCTCTTAACTGCTGAGCAGGCTCTCCAGCTTCTCTGTTGTTGCTTTTTCAACTCTACGAAGTATTTGTCAAATCAAACCAGTGTTTCTTTAGATCAAGCTATATTATAGGCCTTCTTGTCTCCCGTGTGCCTGCCCAGTGTACAAGGAGGTCATAAGAAGGTGTCAGGTCCCTTGGAACTGGTGATACTGATGGTTGTGAGACACCATGTGGGTGCTAGGTATCAAATATTGGCCCTCTGCAAGAGCAACAAGTGCTTTTAATGACAGAGACATCTCTCAGTCCTTCTTAATTTTTAAGACTTTAATTTACATGCATGCATGTTTTACCTATATTTAAGCCTGTGTACCACATGTGTGCAGTACCTATGGGTGTCAGGAAAGGGCATCAGATCCCTTAGAACTAGAGTTACAGGAGATTGTTAACTGCCTTGTGGGTCCTAGGAACTGAACCCGCGTCCTCTACAAGCTCTGTTAACCACTGAGCCGTCTCGTCAGCCCCTATAATTGTATATTCTTGACTGATTGTCCCCTTTGCTATAGTGATGTTCATTATCTCTTCTGATTCCTTTTGGCTTGATATCAACTCTTGTCAAAATTACATACTGCTTTTCTTACTTGCCTCAGCTTTCACTTAATTCCATCTTTTCACTTTGTCTTTTTTTTAGATATAATAAGCTGTGTTTTTATAGATATAATAAGCTATTTTTGTTTTGTATTGTGTATTGATACTGTACGTTGAGCCCAGGTCCAAGTGCTGTGTTCTCAGCCCTGGAATGCATCTTTTAATTAAGTCTGTACAGTTGGTTGTATTACTGACTGGTTTGCTGACTCTTACAAACTTGTTTCCTCTTTGGTTTGACACTGTTCTTTTCTTTTTCTCTTGTTTATATTTTAGAGGCTTGATATTTTACTGAGTTGAACATATTTTATTCTTTTCTCTTTGTCATTTGTTTATCTTCTACATTGTATTCTTTCCTAAAATCTAAAATTGTTTTTTTTTTTTTAACTGTAGGATTCTTTTAGTACCTTGTGCAGTGCTGGTGTAGCAGCCTCAGTCTGCGCTGTTCTTAGAACACTTTTATTCTCTGTGCTGGATATGGCCATGTTGGTTAGCAGCTCTTTGCTCTCAGGCGGTGGAATGTGTTGTGCACTTTTCTGCCTTTTCCACGGAGAAGCCTCGTGTTCCCTGATGAGTTTTTCTTTGTGAGTTGCTTTCTTCTCTGGCAACTGTTGAAATTGTTTCATTCTGTGGCTTTAGCATTATAACGTCATGGAGAATTTCTTTTGTGGTCATGTCTGTTGAGGGTTCTTAATGGATCCTGTTCTTGGATATTCATATGTTTTCCTGGATTGGAATTTTTTGCTACTAATTTCTTTAAATTGCTTTCTATGCCTTAAGTTTGCATTTTTGACATCTTTTGTGTACTCAGTGGATTCTTAGGTTTTGTTTCTTGGTTGTGGCCCAAATGTCTTAAAAGTTTTGGGTTTTTGTTGTTGTTGTTTGTTTTGCTTTGTTCTTTGGTATATGGATGTAATATTTCCTTGTCTCTGTCATCAGTCCTTGATGTCTGCTATCCACTGTCGTGTTCTTTATTTTTCAGGTGTTTGTTTTTTTACTAAATTTTTTACATCTTTGCCTTTCTGGGTTCATTTTTGTTATTAGTTTGCTGTGTTATCCATTTTCCTGCTAGGTTCCCACCTGTGCTGCAGACTCTGTTGTCCTGAATCTACCTCCGTACTTTACTCATCTGCTTGTTTGATTCTCTTTTGAGGTTATTGATGGTTTTTAAACCAAACTGTTTTGTTGTTTCACATTTCACTCATTTCTATATTTTTTAGTTCATTCAGTGAATTGATTGTGAACTTTCTTTTTAACACATTTTAATAAAACTTTTAGGCAAGGTCTCACTGTATAGATTGGTCTGAAGCTCGCTATATCCATCAGGCTGGCTTAGAACTAGAGAAGTTCTTTTGCCTTTTCTTTGGAATACTGTGATTAAAGACATAGGCCATCATAACTGTCCCCTGAATGTCAGCTTTTACAGGAAGGGTCTTGTTTACTTTTTCATAGTTTGCTTCCAATTTGCAACTTATACATTTGTCAGGGTTGGTATCTCTTTATTTGGGATTCTTTTTCTCTCAAGTGCCCAGTATCTCTTGTTCTCAGAGAGGAGAAAGCAAACTGCCATAACTGACACACCCAGACAAAGCATATGCACCAAATAAAAAATGACAATAATTGATATGCCACTAATACCTGTAGGTAAGGAAATGGTAAATTTTATATTAATTATGAAATTTAAAGCTAGGGTAAGAGTAATAATAAATTTATAAACTAAAGGATACTGTCAAGAAAAGGATAAATGAAGAAAGGTAAGATAGAGATAAAAAGGAAAAACAATTTTTTAAGAGCAAGGGATGAAAAGAAGTCTTGTAACAGAAAGAATGAAATTAAGTAAAGCTTAGAATACAATTTAAAAAAAACCATAAATGTTTCAAAAAGTAAAATAATTCTAAGAATAATAAACACATTCTGAAAAACATACTGAAAAAAAGTTAAAAGAAATGGCAAAAAGTCAAGGCAGCTTTGCTCTGACTCCCTCAATCTGCAAGGGTCTGCAAGGTGTGTGTGGTGGGGTATAGTTGGTGTGCTTGTCATTCCTGTCGTTCTAGCCAATGTTTCTTTGTCCTTCCTTGCTACATTTACAAGTTTCTCTGCAGTGAGCTCTGTGAACTATAGCCTTCCAGGTTTTTTCTTGCTCCAGAGAAGGCCTCCCTCCATTTTTGCACCCAAGATTTCTTTCTATCAAAGCTGAAAGTGTTCCTCAGTTTGCTGAGATGTCCCTGGAGAGGTAGAACTGAGCGTTCTTGTTACTCTATATGGCCGTCTTAGTGCCCTCACTTCCAGAAGCAGCGTGAGATGTGAAAGAAGGAGGAGGCTGCAGAAACTGAGCAGTGGGCCTCTGGAGAGCTGGCGTAGAGATGAAGAGGCCGACTGCTTTTACAGAGGACCTGAGCTACGTTGCTCACACCTGCATGTCACCTTACAACTGCCCGCAATCTTACTTGGGGCTCTAAGACCTTCTGTCTCCCATAGCCTTCTGCATAAGTGTGGTGCCCATAACTCCTATGGGCACATACATGCACATAAACTTAAAAAATGAATATTTAAAAGTTTAAGGGGAGGATGTGGTTTAGTTGTTAGAATGTTTGCCTAGCATACACAAATCCTGGGTTAGATTCTCTAGTCCCACATAAACCAGGAGATGTAGTTAAGTGCTGTAAGAAAGCAAAAATAAATGCAAATGAAGTAATGGGCTGGATCTAG